TTACTTTACAGCTAAAACCCATATTTTACATATGCTAATCTGCTTATTACAGTCCAATGTTTTTTATTCAGAAAGCGAAATATTAAATTTTTGTTTTTGAAGTTAGATAATACTGAAAGTAAAGCTTTTTGTATGGGAAAATAAGTGAAAGTTTGATGCTAATACTAAAAGGCAGTTCCAGACTTCAGTAGGTTTGAGTTCAATGCCAGATTGCTCTTTGCATTTTGATTTTAATGTCAGTGTATTATTGATTATACTTAACTGCAGTTTGCAATTACTTTGCCAAGTTATTTCTGTTAGTAAAAATGAGATTGCCTGGTAATTTTTACGGTGTTTTTAGTAGCTTTGTAGACAAAGAGAAACTTACTTTGAGAATTTTTTAAAATATTATTTGCAATGCATATGGTAGATCTATTGTGATCTTGTATGTGGCTGTTCTGTAACTGGTTTAATTGACCCAATATTAAAGACATGATGAATCTAGGAGGACGAAAATCTCAGAACAGTCTTACTTGGAAATTAACTACAAGGCTAAACTTTTTTCTTTTGAAATCTTTCATTTTGCAGATGGCTCTGAGGGAGTTCAGCAGTCACATCAGAACTTCCTGAATTCAGAAAGTAAAGCATACCAAAGTTTTCAGCAGATGAGGAATGCAATTGAAAAGGACAGGAGGAGTGAGAGAACTAGAGGAAATGGCAAAGAATTAGCTTTTACTCTCATGCCTTTGTATGCTATTGGCGTGGGGGTGTTTGCAGCATACAAATTCCTAAAGGTAAATATTAAATATAACAACATTAACCATAGTAGTGTCAGAGGGTAAAGCCCAAATAGGTCATTTGTTCCTCCCCTGAGTCCATGCAGATTATTCTTTAAAATCCACTTAGTTTGGCTTTTGCTCAGTATGGTTTCAAAGATGAGCTGCAAAATAAAAGCTGTGCTGTTTACTGCTCTCTCTCTCTTCCCTCCTCTTCAGACTGATTTGGAGTGGAGTAGAAGGTGATTCTCACAGTCTGAGAGAATGGTTAAGTGGCACTGCAAAACATGCCAGAGGGGTGTGATTTTTAAAGTGCACTAACACGCTAGGTTTTCTACTGGAGGAATTCTGCACTACTGTTTGCACACAGAAACATGATTCCTGGCAGATTCTGGTTGCTTCCCCACAGAAAAAATGGTTTATTTGGAGAAGCAAAGAGAAATTGTACCAGTTTCACTCACATCTCCCCCTATTACTCCAGGTGCCAAAACAGATGTGCCCATGCTGCTAGGGAGGGGGAAGTGATTGTAGGGGAGAAAGGGGAGACCTGGGATGCCCTGGCTATTCAGGGATGTTAGTCCTGACTGGGCAAGGGAGGAGGAGGATGGAGATGGAGTTCTCCGCCCCTGCCTGGAGAAGCTAGGCCTAACTCAGATCAAACTCCAGAAATTTCCCTGACTTCAAGAGACTCTGCATGGGGGTTGGGTGATTGGGTGTTTGAGTGCAGTGGGTGATGTAAAGGGTTTTGCATGGTATTGGGAGGGAGTAAGATTTGATGGTGGCATTGGATGTGTGTTGGGAAAGAAAGATTCAGATGTATGGAGGTTGGTCAGTCAGTGGGAACAGCAGCACATATAGTGACCATTGCGTCCCCACTTCCTGTCTGCATCATTCTCCTCCATGAAGGGAAGGGTTAGTGTAGGGGGAGCTGTTCTCCCTCACTGAGCCCTCCGAACCCTCACCCTGCTAAGACTCACCCCCTATATCAGGAGCCCCCCTTCACCGCATCCAAGTTTCTCTGCTCCCAGAAACCCCCCATCCCATCAGGCCTCACCCATTGTATTGGAAACCCCCTACTCCTGGACCCCACATTGAGTCCCACTCACCTCACTGAGCCCCAGTATCTAGACACCTTCCCCTCTGCCCAGTTGACCTCTAACCATCTTCATCTGGACTCTTCTGCACCCAGATATCCCCAATAAGTCCCTATGCATCCAGATCTCCCTCTCTTCTGCCACCCCCTGTACCTCCCACAGAGTTGCCTGCACCTAAAAAATTCTGCGTTTCATTTGTCAAAATAACACAATATAATCATTTAAACGTTAAGTATGTCTGAAATAATTCAAATAAGAAAAGAGCAAAAGAGATACAGATTTTTTATGACAAATAATAAAATAATGTAAGAACAGCAATACTGGGTCAGACCAAAGGTCCATCTAGCCCAGCATCCTGTCTTCTGACAGTGGCCAATGCCGGCTGCCCAAGAGGGAGTGATCAGAACAGGGAATCTTCAGTAATCCCTCTCCTGTCTCCCATTCCCAGCCTCTGACAGGGAATTGTATGCCAAAAAATTTAAAATTTCACATATTTTATTTGTCGAATTAACGCAGTAGCAACAACATAATCATATAATTTTTAATTATTTGCTGACAAGTATTTTGATATAAATTACCAAAATAATTAAAAATAGAGTGTTTATATTGCTTTTGTGTTACTGTGTTTTTTGACAAATAGGCAAAATTTTGCAGAATTCAAAAATTTTTAAGCACAGAATTTTTAATTTTCAGTGCAGAATTCCTTCATCGGTACTAGGATTCTTAGGAGTGTTATTTTGACAGATGAAACCTGCAGAATTTTTTTGTTGCAGAATTTTGCCAGGGGTACTGTGGAGAGCCTTAAAAGCAAAGAAGAGTAGCTTGTTTGTTATGGGGAGAGGGATGCATGCAAAGGAGGATGATGTAGTCGAAGTAGTGAGCCATGAAAATTATTTTTGCAGCAAGATAAGTGGAGCAGACTGCATTTGTCAAAGCTGGAGAGGAGGAGATAGTGATCATCGAGACTCATGATGAGGGTCTGTGTTACAAAAGACTAACTGGGTGGCTGGAGAGAAAAGGTCTTACTGACGGTTGCTTATCCAATATTAAAAGCAATTTGCCTTTTAGCTGTCCTAAGTAATAGAACTTCCACTATTTTTTCTTGCAAGGGCAATCCCAGGGCCTTATCAAGAAAATTTTGCTAACATTCAGCATACATTTAAAAAAAAAAAAGTCTTAATGTATGTTATAATTCCCAGTGATGATGTTCCCTACCACCCCTTATGCTGGCATTCTTCAGCATCCTCAGTGTTTATATTCTTGACATACTTGGAAATTGTTATCACTTAGCTAAATATAAGGCTTTATTAACATACTGTAGTTGAGGCAGCTCACATACATTGATATGTTCACGAATGGAGCCTTAATTGTCTTGTATACTTAAGTGGTTTATAGCAGAGGAACCCAAATGCAGGTGACGCTCCAGCTGTGATTTAAAGGGCTCAGGGTTCCAGGCGCTGCTGCAGCACCAGCAATGGCGGCCAGACCCCCGGGCCCTTTTGAATCATTGGGCCCCAGGGCAACTGCTTCCCCCATCCTTCTGTCGGTGGGCCTGACCCATACCTCCCGCCAGTGGTCGGGGTCAGGACAGCTTTGCCACAAGTTGAATATGAGTCAACAGTGTGATGCTGTTGCAAAAAAAGCAAATATGATTCTAGGTTGTATCAACAGGTGTGTTGTAAGCAAAACTCGTGAAGTCATTCTGCCGCTCTACTCTGCACTAGTTAGGCCTCAGCTGGAGTACTGTGTCCAGTTCTGGGCACCACATTTCAAGAAAGATGTGGAGAAATTGGAAAGGGGACAGAGAAGAGCGACAAGAATGATTAAAGGCCTAGAGAACATGACCTATAAAGCCAGGATTGATGAACTGGGCTTGTTTAGTTTGGAAAAAAGAAGATTAAGGGGGGACATGATAGCGGTTTTCAAATATCTAAAAGGGTGTCACAAGGAGGAAGGAGAAAATTTGTTCCTCTTGGTTACTGAGGACAGGACAAGGAGTAATGGGCTTAAAGTGCAGCAGGGGAGGTTTAGATTGGACATTAGGAAAAAATTCCTAACTGTCAGGGTGGTCAAATATTGGAATAAATTGCCAAGGGAGGTGGTGGAATCTCCCTCTCTGGAGATATTTAAGAACAGGTTAGATAGACATCTGTCAGGGATGGTGTAGACAGAGCTTGGTCCTGCCTTGAGGGCAGAGGGCTGGACTCGATCAGCCCAACTCCCAGACAGTGGTGAGCAGGGGTAGTGCGGTCCTTCTTTTTCTGCTTCCCTTCCCTCCCTCTCCCTCCTCCCTCCTCCCCCCCCAGCATTAACTCTTGCACCATCTGGGCAGTGCGGTCACCTCACTGCCAGCCTTGGTGCTCTGGACAGTGCGGTCATGGGGCATGGAGCAGGGTGGTTGGATATGGAGCAGGATATTGTGGGGGAGAGGGTGCAGGGGCAAGGCTACAACTGGCTATTTGTGGAGTTACAGCCTCTCCTAGCCTTCACTACTTAGCCATCCATGTAATTTCCCTACCTGATGTGGCCCTCAGACTGAAAAATTTGCCCACCCCAGTCTAGAGGTTACATTTCTAAAGGATTTTGCAGTGAAATGTAAATTGAAGGTGTTTATGTGTCTACTAAAACAAATTTCTCATAATAAATTTGAGAGACCAATTTGTGCACTTGCTTTATACCAGAATTTTCATGCATTGTTCATATGGTGACTTGAAAAATTCTGTAAACTGTTTTGACTAAAATGTGGCACCTAGTTTAAGATGGCACTGTAAATCAGTATTTTTTCTGTGTGCTTACATGAGGCAGAAGTCAAAATATTGTGCAGTGACGAACATATGTAGGATCTTGAATGTAGTTTTTATACAGTCTTTGTTATGCTTAGCTCGTTGTCTGGCAGCCTATACAAGACATTGTCTGATTCTGAAGTGGGTATTTCAAGTGCAATTATATGAAATAAAATTTTGTTTTATATAATGCGTCTGCTGAATGCAATAGGACGCTTGGTGTACTAAAAGAATCGGTGATTTGGATAAACGTTTCATGGACATTACACAAATTTTGTCACTTTTGGCACAGACCTCTGGACAGTTTCAGTGAGCGCTTTGCTGCATTTGACTTCACTTTGTTTAAGGAGTGGACGGGATCGAGTGTGAGTGAATGAATATCACAAATAACTGAAACTTAATACATTTAAAATTCTTATTTAAACACATATCTAAAACACATACTAAGCTATTTTGTAGGCTTATGTGTAACTTGACTTTTTTTTTTTTTTTTAGATGAAATCCCAAGAAGGAAGTCCTTCTAAGAAAGAGAAAAATACTGATGACAAGGCAAAAGAAACAGGCAAGGCATCAGTTCAGAATATGCAAAGTCATAAAGTATATAGTTTTCCTTCTGAAATTAAACTATGCATTTATTGATATGTTGCAGAACAAAACCCAGTCCTTTGGTTTGTTAAAATGCTTTGAAGAACATTAGCAAGACTGTTAAACTTAACGCATGCCCAAGCACCTAATTTTAGGAATAGAACAATGCTCAGTAGTGGCATACTTAGAAATGTGGGCGTAGAAGGGACTCAGCAGTTGTCTAGATCATCCACTGTGCTGAGGGAGAACCGACTATACTTACATCATTCCTGACAGGAGTTTGTCCGACCTGATCCTAAAAGCCTCCAGTGGGATTCCATGGCCTCCATTGGAAGCCTATTCCAGAGCTTACCTGTCTTTTCACTGAGAATGTTTTGCTTAATATTCAACCTAAAAAGTATGTTGCTTCAGATTAAACCAGGTTCTTGTACTGCTTTGAGTAGACATGGAGAACAATTCAGCACTATCTTCTTTATAAAAGCCCTTAGTATATTTGAAGACTAATGTCCCCCTCAGCTTTCTTTTCTCAAGACACATTGTGTTGATTACAGACTAATTCCTCAATGTCATTTTGAATTCTAATCCCAACCTTCAAAGTGTTTAGCTTTATATCATCTTCAGACTTTACAAGCATATTCTCCTTTTCATTCCAAGCCATTAATGGAAACATTGAATAGTAATAGACCCCAGACTGACCCTTTTGCGACCCAAACTAGATTTGCCCTCCCAATTTGACAGTTAATTATTGATAATTGCTATTTGAGAACTGTCTTTCAACCCACTGTGCATCCACTCTACAATAATTTCCTCTAGACTACATTTCCCTAGTTTGCTTATGAGACTGTTATGTGGCTCCGTGTCAAAAGCTTTACTAACATCAAGATCTGTCACATGTAATGCTTTTTCCAAGAACTGGGCCAGTAAGCGTTTCAAAAAAGGGGCCTGTCATGATTTATTTTTGATGAATCCATCTGTGCTATTACATGAAACCCTGTTATCCTGTAGGTACCTACAACTTGATTTTTTTGTTTCCTGGAAAAATACTGGAATGAGTTATCACAGGCTGACTGGTCTCTAATCTTCTGAATCCTCTTTGTTCCCCTTTTTAAAGATATGTACTATATTTGCTGTTTCTGGCAGCTTACCCATCCTCCATGAATTTTTGAAGATAATTCCTAATGGTTCTGAGATTGCTATGTTTAGTTCCTTAAGTTTCCAGGGTAAACTTTGTCACCCCGCTATCTTGAGTGCATCTCATGTATCTAAATATTCCCTAACCCAGTGGTGGGCAACTTGTGACCTAAGGGCCACATGCAGCCCTTCAGGTTTCTATGTGCGGTCAATGAGATATTTTGTTTACCACCCATGCTCAGGGTTGCCAGATTCCACTATTTTTTTCCTACCAGTATTACTAAATTGACATGCGTAAATCAAGGGCGCATGAAGTGAGTGCATGCTGTTTGCACACAATATTGTCTGTGAGAGCTGCACGCTTCCTCTGCATCAAAAGCACTGCTATGGTTCAGTTAGCACAGCTTGCAAATTTTAGGTGTGCAAGCACAGTGAGCAAAACTAACCTCTCAGGAGAACATCTTGTTTACAACAATCTTGTGGTTCACTGAGATGGAAGGCCAGTCACTCACTAGCCTTGGTTGCCCATTGCTGCTCTAATCTGTTCTTCCCTTACTCTGTCTTTTGTGTTCCTTCCCTCTTTTTCTTAATGTTGTGTTAAGTATTTGGTCACAGTTAACCTTTTTATGGAAGACTGAAGCAAAACAGGCTTTCAGTGCCATAGCTTTCTTGATGTCAATTGTTGCTAGGGCTCTTCCTGCTAAACAGCGGTCCAATACTTTCCTTTCTCTTTCTCTTAATGTAATTCTAGAACCTCTGCATATTGCCTTTCATGTTTCTTACTAGGAGAAATACATTTTGTGCCTTAGGTGTTCTGATGTTTGTCTCTACATGCTTGTGCCATTGTTTTGTGTTCATCTTCAGCAGTTTGTCCATGTTTCCACATTTTTAGCATTCCTTCTGGATTTTTAGGTCATCAAGGAGCTATTTGTGATTCTTTGCTTTCAGTATGCTAAGGGCATGACTTTTGTTGATTGGTTAGCTTATTCTGTTTGGCAATAAGGATACAATATACATTTAGAATAACCTACAGTAACAGGACTTTTCTGGTAGATAAATGCAAAGTAATGCACACTGGAATACATAATTCCAGTTGTACATTAAAAAGTGGGATCTAAATTAGCTTTTACCACTTAAAAAGAGATCTTCGCATCTTTGTAGATAGTTATCTGAAAACTTCTGCTCAATGTGCAGCAGCAGTCAAAAAAAAGCTAACAATGTTAGGAACCCTTAGGAAAAGGATAGAAGAAAAGATAGTAAATGTCATAATGCCAATATATAAAGTAGTGGTATGTACATACCTTGCTGGGGTATGTAAGTTCTGGTCACTCCCTCTCCATGTCCAACTTCAGTGTATTTAAAAATCTTAACTGCTTTATAGAAAGGATATATTAGAATTGGAAAAAGTACAGAGAATGTCAGCAAAGATCAGGGGCATGATACAGAAGTAATGAGACTGGGACATCTCAATTTGGAAAAGAGACAATGAAGGAGGAATATAATAGAGGCCTTTAAAATCATGACTGGTGTGACAGTGAATAAGGAAGTGGTATTTATTCCTTCACATAACACTACAATCAGTAGTCATACAATGAAATTAATAGGCAGTAGGTTTAGAAGAAAAGGAAGCTCTTCTTCTAACGATGCACAGCCAACCTGTTCAACTCATTGCTAGGGAATGATGTGAAGGATAAAAGTATAGCTGGGTTCAAAACTAAAGTAGATAAGTTCAAGGAGGATAGGTACCTCAATGGTATAAACCAAGATGGTGAGGGGTGCAATCCTGTGATCTGGATGTCCCTGACTGTGAGAAGCTGGGAGTGGATAACAGGCTTAAATTACTCAATAATTGCTTTCTTCTATTTATTAACTCTGGCACTGACCACTGTCGAAAGACAAGATGCCAATGTAGATGGACCATGGGTCTGACCCCATATGGCCATTCTTATGGTCAGTTGAATACTCTCCAATAAAGTACTTTGGGGAGATGAGTGGAGTTGGTATTTCAGGTAGATTGCCACCTGCTTTTTTGAGTCACACTCTTGAGCAGAAGATCAGTATGAATTCTTGTCATTTTTAAAGTAGGTCAGACTGGGCATGTCCAACTTCAATGAATTTAAAAATCATAACAGCTTTACAGAAGAGATGTAGTAAAGTGTAATGGAGTAATTCACTGCCATTGCATATGAATAAAGGATCATTTTCCACGACACACTTTCTTGTGTCTTATTGAGCCTAGACTAAAAACTGAGTCATGTGGTTTCAGCAACAAGGGAGCCTGTAGTAGAGCTTATTAGTTACTATCAGGATGTCTTGTCTTTTTAGTCATGATTTTCCCTTTATAGCTTCTAGTTATATTGATTTTTATTTACTACCCTAAACAACTCTTGTGCCTTTGATAGTGTTTACATCCTTCAAATACTGGTAGCCTATTAGTGTGTCTTCCCCATCGTGCCTAGGACAATATTTGTGTGCATAGAGCTTTTTTCAATTACTTCTGAACTCCAGTTGTTCCTTTTTTTCATAAGGTAGTGTCAAGCGCTGAGCAATTTCTTATACAGTCACTCTAAAGTTTTACAGAGAAAGGGTTATTTTATATAATGATGTGTACCGAACAAAAACAATAATTGGCTTTTATTTGCTGCCATTTTGCAGTGTAGTATGTCTAATACACTGTTTCTCTTTTAGAGCATCAGCTTTTGGAACTGGAGCAGCATCTAGCACAAACAGAGAAAATTTTAAATTCTTTATTGACTCAGTTAGATCCACTGTCAAACTGGTGAGTAAGTCCAGGATAAGGAACACCGTTTATGCATTAAATAAAGTTACAGTAATGACTTCTAACTTGTAGGGAATTACAAACATCTCAGTAGATCATATTATTTTTGGAGGTAAGAGGTACAGAGAAACCTTTTTTGTAACGTAGCATTTGTATAATGCTGTACAGAGAGTAGGCGGCTCTGTAGATTTAAACTAGCATTCCTACAGACAGCTCCCTTATTGACATACACATGTAAGCAGCATAGTAACATGGGATGATAATACAGGCAGTCCCCGGGTTATGTGGATCCGACTTACGTCGGATTCCTACTTACAAACGGGGTGAGGGAACCCCGCACTAGCTGCACCCCCCTCCCCCCAGCAGACCGCCGAGACGTGCCGCGGCAGTCCCGCCACCCGCGTCCTCTGCGGCGAGAAAAGCCGCTCCGCATCACCCTGGTCTGCTGGGGGGGACCCCCCAGCAGACCAGGGAGATGCAGAGCAAAGCCGTGGAGGACCCGGGCAGCAGGACCGCGGTGCGTCTCGGTCCCCTGCCCGCGTCTCCCTGGTCTGCTGGGGGCGGGGGCGCTAGCTTCACGTCTCCCTGGTCTGCTGGGGGGAAGCAGCTAGTGCGGAGTTGCCTCACCCCGTTTGTAAGTAGGGATCCGATGTAAGTCGGA